GAAACTTCAATGGTGGAGAAGCAAGTAGGAGGTTCAGCCACTTCTTGAAGTTGAAGAAGCTTGATGAACCAAGTTCAAAGGTTGAAAACCTTTGTGAAAAGCCTAAGGAGAATGTTCTCCATGGATTCTAGGGAACTTAAGAAGAGAGAATTCTATGTGAATTTCTAAATTCATTCATCAAAAGTGAGAGAAAAGGTTGGAGTTACAAATATATAGAAGGAGGTAGCTTAGGGAGCAAGCTAACCTTAATCATGGTTCAAGTGAACCATGGTTTGGTTGGCTTGACCGTCTAAGCTAGTTAGGAGGCTTGTGGAGCAAGCTTCTCACTTAGCTTGCTTGGGAAGCATGTTAAGGAGAAGCTTGTAGCACAAGCTTTTCAAGCTTGAAGGCAAAGAGAAGCAAATTCGGCCATGTGAGGAACCAAGGCAAGCTAGGCGGCCAAGTGACTATTTTGCTCACTAATCCGTTTCAAAAAATGTTTGATTTGGTTTAGTTAGGTTCATCCAAAAATGATGAGACCTAGCTAAATCAAATCTGAAAAATTAGGAGCAAAATGAGTCCAATAAAAATTTTGCCTAGTCACACCCTCAAGCATTGCAAATTGCCACCCCACTTCTACTACTGAAAAAATAGAAAAAGAGTGTTCTTCAAAGTTAGGTTAAATGGAGTCAAAGTCTCCAAGTAACCTATCCTAGAAACAATATACAATGATCGATAAAATGAAATAAAGTGTCTCACAAATACAAAGGCATAAATAAGCCTATACAAAGAAACTATGTACAAGTTAAATACAATTAGAACTATGCCTTCTCTTCATGATAGAGTATTCCAAATGAAGAGTACCTTGGGCTTAGAAAGTCCATTGGTCTTCAAGTTGTCCAACTCTTCCTGTATGCTCCTGGTCATAGCTCTAGTGATTGGACCCTTGGCCCATGGTCCATCATCAAGCCACCAAGCTTTTTTTTGTTGTTGTAAAAATAGAAAAAATTATAAAGATGATCGCGATAAAAATTGAACCTAAGTTCTCATGCTTCTAACTATTCTAACTTTTTCCCACCTAATCACTAGACTAATCCTAGTAGTTTGAAGTGGAGCATGCTCTAAAGTCTAAAGTTGATTAATTCAAAAAAAAAAAAAAAAGTCTAAAGTTGGTGGAGAATGGAGATGAACATAGAAACTGATTTTCCCGGTTTAACATGTATAAAACTTTGAAATGTTAATAAATATATTTTGTGGAGATATTTTTTTTATTATTTCTTTTCACAATAACTTACGTTTTAACTTTTTCTAATTTTAAAATATTGTTGTTTTATAAATCTTAAGTTTCATTGATTATTTTCTTCACAACTATTCTCTTATTTAATAGTGGTGTGAATCCCTCTTGATGTACTTAAAAAAAAGTCAGCTATTTACTAAGTATGTCGGTTAATTATGTCACTCTTTACATCTATAAATCTTATAATAAATATTAAATAAAAATATATTTTGGAGTAAATATACTAAAATAATGGATAGTAAAATATTTATTACTATGTGGAATAACCTTAAATATATGAGTGAGAAGATGGATATAAGTCTTCAGACCTTCTGGATAATAAACTTTTTAAAAAAAAAATGTATAATTATGTTTAATTTTTTAGTTCAATTTGTAAAATTTGCATGTTTACAGGTTAATTGATGAATTTTACTAATTAATTTTTAAGACATTAAGACTTTAATATTTAGTTGTGTATTTAAATTTTTAAACTATTAACACATTAAAATTATGTTTATTTGGTATGTATTTATTATATAAATTATTTTTAAGGCATTTTGATATTATTATTATTGAGAGTTTGACATTATTTTATAAATATTGATAGTATTTTTAGTGTTAGCACTTTAATATTTAGTTTTTTAGACAACGTATTTTTTTTTTTTTTTGTAAAGTAAGACAACAAACAAAACAAAAAGAAAAAATTACACTTATAGATTTTTGTGTGAGATTTTAACTTAAATAATTTTTTTAAAAAAATTGAATGTTTGTTTTCCCATATTTCTTATTTGAATATAAATTTTTAAAAAATGATATGTAAGTTATTGTTTTTCAAGTTCTTATAGCGGAAGGAAAGCAATTATAAGTAGAGAAAGATATTCATGCCCTATTTGGTAAAGTTGGATTGTATGAGAATTTTAGATGCATGGAAAGAAATGATGAAAAAATTATATTCAGTGATTGTTTGGTTGGGAAGACAGTGAGAAAATAAATGAAAATGTGAGTGGGATCCGCAACTAAAAATTTCGTTGAAGATAAGTGTGGAAATTGTGAAGAAAATGAGTGTCACTTAAACCAAATCAAACTTCCAAAAATAACATTGCGTTGTTTCTTGAAACCTCTCTCGTGTTTGCTTTGCGAAAACTCTCTTTCCGTTTTTATTCCGCTATATGCTGATTTTGCGAAAACCCTTTTGTTGTTTTTCTTGTTTCTCTTTGTTGGTTTTGCGAAAACACTTTTGGTTAGCAATTGTTCCAATGTAGTTTGTCCAAGTAATGTCATGATCTAATATGCTAATATGATTTTTTGATGTTGTTTGTTAATCGACTTTTATTGCATTACGTGTTGCAAACCATTGAAAGTGTTGTAGTTTGTATTCAATTGTATTCATTCTTTTCTTTTTTAGAACCTTATATAATAAGTTATGTATCGATTATGTTATATTGTCTGTCTTCTCTAGAGGTGATAAGTGATAATTGATTCGGTTGCATAATTTTCATAATTGATAAACACCCTCAAATGCAACTCTTACCCTTTGATGCTAGTATTTTGATTGATTGCAAAAATATTATAATATTTAATCGATTAAAATGATTATAATCAATTTCACTATACTATAATAAAATTGATACTATGATGAAATTGATTTTTATACCTATTATATAATTGTCACCAAGGTTTCATTTAATTAACTCTAGAATGTATAAATTGTAATGTTAGACAGAAATGGAATTTATTCGATTATACACTAGTTATAATAGATAAAATTATAATTATCAAAATGGGTAGTCTAGTCTATATGAGTTGATCCACCTTAATTCATTTTAAAAGCGGTTCAATGCGGCTCAGCTCACTTTTAATTTTTTCAAAACTTTCCTGGTCCGACCCGATCTACCACAGGTTTGTGGGTTACACGAGCCAGCCCACCAATCCACCGAAAAATTAAAAAAAAATTATCAACAAAATTTAAAATTTAAAATTAACTATAAATTAACATAATAATCATAAAACTAGTATCATTAATAGTTATAAGTCATAACTCATCATACAAAGTTAAATATAAATTATAATAAAAGTCTAAAATAATTTTTTTTTAATGTTCCATTATACACAATTAACTATAAATCATAATTATATTTCACTTTAAAAAAAAAAGATGGGCTGGTGGGCTGTCTAGCCTACCACAAGTTCAACTCGGATAGGCGAGTGATAGTAAACCGAGTTGAAATATACCCACTTATTATAAAATTTTTATTTCTTTTGCCCCACCCAATCCATTTTTAAGATAGGCTGGGTTAATCTACGAGCCATAACCTATTTTGACGACTCTAGATAAAATGTCTCTTTTGCTCCATGCATTTTTATTTAATTTATTATATGTGCTTTTTAATCGTTTGAATACAAAATGTCATATGTATGTGATATAATTTTTTTAAAAAAATTTATCGAATCACTTGAAACTTTATTTTATCTACTTTATTTATTTATTTATATTTTTCATAAAATTAGGGTGAACTCAAAATCAAACAAAAGTTCAAAGGATGTAAAATTAAACATAAAGATTCTTTCGTTAAAAAAATTGAATTAGTTAAAATATTAAAAAAAAATATTTCATAAAAAAATTCTAAAATTACTCTCACATAAAATAAAAATTTATGTGTAATATATAAATTTTTTTTTCATATATGATCTTTATTTTCTTAAAGTGAGACAAAAGGGGACACTTTTATACGGAAAATACAAATCACATCTATCACATTTCCAAGAAAGACAGAACTAAAGGTTGACAAATTTTACACTAAAAATAAATATTTTTTATATTTATAAAAATTAAAATATATTTAACCCTTACTTAAAAAATATTTCTACGATATATTAAAAGCTCGGTGTGTGATGTAAAATTTTACAGTTGTAGTTTATCCCTTAGAAAGTGACGTGACATAATAATTAATGATAGTACGTAAAAATTATTATCGTTATTTTACAGAATCAAGAATATACTCTAATTAACCGTTGAAAATTAATTTCTTTTAAATCATAAAAATAAGTTTAAAAATTTCGTAACAAAAAATAAAATTTTAATAGATTGTATATTTAAAAAACTGATTTATCTATTAGAAGTTTTGTCTTACTCGAGGAGTGTTTGATTTCATAGTCTAGTCTCTGTAATAATTTTTTGAGTGATGGAACAGGGAAGCATCGCGTTGGTCCACGTGTATGTTTCTGACTTCTGAGAACTGGATAACTTTGCCCCTTATCTGTCTCTTTTCTGCACTTATTCACAGACGTGAAGTCCTTAAACTAGGATGAATCACTAACTTGGCCTACGTGTTGTTTGGCTGTGCCAAATCCATTTATTCACCCACCACACATTCTAATCCTACATGTCATTACATATTACACAATTTTTAACTCAACCCATATTCCCCCATCCCATGCCACCTGTCCCACGTTTTTTACATCCACACCTCCCATCTCCATCGTACGAAGGCACATCATCATTAATGTAACTCTACGTATTCTACCCCTAAAATCTGCTCTTAATTTAATTTAATCACTCTAACTTTATCCTTTATAAAAAAGTCACCATATGTTATACATTTTCAACTTAATAGTAGTATATGAAATAAAATACTACTTCACTATCTTGAAATAATTGTGTCGCAATTGATCAACGGCGAATAAAAATATTTTAAACACTGTACACGTTTTGGTGATTGTTGCGAATCGAAGATAAAGCAGATCAAAAGGGTGCTTCACGTTAAAAGAAGTAAGGGCAGTTGCACTGAATAGAGGCGTAGGGGTTAGCTTAGCTTTATCCATATAACTCCGAAAGCAATATAAATAAATGTAGTATTGAAGACTCGGGAATTGAAAACAAAGGCACATAGAAACAAACAAAGCAGCAAGAGAGAGAAAGGTGTTTGATCAATCAATATTCAATGGCGTCAAGGAAGAACTTTCTTTCAAAGCCGAGTCGCTACATCTTTCCGGCAACCTCAGACACCCATTTGAGCCCAACCCAACAAGAGGGCATCTTCGAGTTCGACGAGGCTGAGTTGTGGAACCACTCCGAAGCCACCAAAAAGGGGTTACCTTCTTCGGGTTCGCGATCCCTTGCGAAGAGAGCATCGAGGAATAACAACAAGGTAGATCATGGTGGAGGAGGTCGAGTGGGTCCAGCGTCATTGCCCGTTAACATACCCGATTGGTCCAAGATCTTGAAGGAGGACTACAAGGAGCACCCAAAGTGGGAGAGTGATGGTGATGATGAAGAAGAACACGTTGGTGATGAAGGAAACCAACGAGGGTTTAGGGTACCCCCTCATGAGTATCTCGCTAGGACAAGAGGTGCTTCTCTCTCGGTGCATGAAGGGATTGGAAGGACCCTCAAAGGAAGGGACTTGCGTAGTGTCAGAAATGCCATTTGGAAGAAAGTGGGCTTTGAAGATTGATTAATTAATTCATCATAACAAAAATTAGTGTTAAAATGGGGATTAGTGCTAGGTTGTTACAACTTTCAAGAGAGAAAGAGAGATAAGATATGGATCAGATTCCAGAAATTTTTTTTATATTGGAAAATTTTGGTTAAGGCGATGATTACTTTAGTGCCTGCTAGTTTTAGCTATATGTTTCAACTTTGAACAGATCCGTATGCTATATATATGTTGTTCTTGTGGATGATCCTATATGTAGTTAGGGAACGTTTTGTTTCTTTTTGAAATGTTGACTCGTACTGTTAAGCAAGGAGATGATCATGATGATCCTCATTTTGGGTGTCTACTGTTTTTAAAGAAGGACCACCACTCATATATGCTTGTATTTGTAATGATCTCTTCAACTATTTTAATTGATCATTGGACATATTATATATATATATATATAGTTATATACCTATATATATGATTCTATGTAATCTTGTTGGGTTACATGATTTAATTTCATGGCCCTGTATGTTTGTTTGATCTTTCTTGGTGGTACGTATTTTATTTTAGAAGAGGAGAAGGCGTGCGATAGAGGAGTAGTTTTAACTTTTAATAGATAGGATTGGTTGAATGAGAAGGAAAGAAATGAAGAAATGGGTAACGTCGTGGGTGGGTGGATTCTATCTCTATGGGTATGAGGTTAGTGGTTAACGTAGCAGTGGGTGAGAAAGGTATTGGTTGGCTAAATTAATATGACTTTGAGTAACATTCATGTAAGAATCAAATATGACTCTAAGTCTCTAACTATTTCTACCCAACTTTTTCCTTTGGTAAAGTAGCCTCATCGGTCATCACTCATGCAAGAATCGGTATCAAAAATTATATATCATTGTATAAAAGGATAGTTTTTTGATAATCATTTTTATTTTCATTTTTGTACGGATCTTTTTATTTTTATCAAAAAATCTAAAATGGTTATCTTTTTTAAGTACTAAAATTTCACTAATTGCATAACAATTCCTTTCAATAGGCTTCTATTATTTTTTTTTCGTTTTATTCTTTACAATGAATACCTATTAGTCATCACTTTTTTTTTTCATAGACACCACTTTTTTCCTAAAAAAAATATATATAGGTACTCCGTGCTAGTATATGTAAAGGGGTACATGATTTATAACTACATTTTAGTTTTCACATTTTTTTTAATGATTTTATCATTAAATATTTAATAAAATAAAATAATATTAAAAATTAATCATTCATGTAACAATTCAAATAAGTTAATTATCTTTAATCATTCAAATTTTCAACCACTTTTATTATTTAATCTCAATTTTTATTTTATTTTAAAATTTTTAAATAAAATACAAAAGTAGAGTATCTCAATTTTACTAGTAATCTATAACATTATATAAAGGGATACACTTATTTAATGTCACTTTTTTAAAGGCATTTATATCTTTGTTTTATATTCAAAGAAAAAAAATAATTTTTTCTAAAAAAAATTAACTGCTCACTTTATAGCTATCGATTTCTTTTCACATAACATTTATTTTATGAAGACACGTAGTGTTTTTATTAATAATAATAATAATAATAATAATAATTATTATTATTATTATTATTATTATTATTAAAGCACAACATTAAAATTCATTATTTAATCATGTGAATACAAGTCTAAGTATTTTTATAACCTCTCATTATTAAATCTATTCTAAGTCTTGGTCAAATCTTTAAGATCCAACTCGTATAAGCTTTCTTAAAAAATATTAAATTATTTACTCGTAGGATTTAACAATAAAAATATCTGTAAAAAAATAAAAGTAAAAAAGATAAATTTAAACTAGGAACATCTTATTTGGATTGGTAATAAGTCAGTTTTCAATTTAATCTCATAATTTAATAGCTAAAATTTTTAGACTCGTTAATTAACTATGCTTATTGTGAAAGAATTAAACAATTCTTTTTTTTTTTTTTAAAAAAAACTTGAACAGTTTACATAAAAATAATTTCAAAATTTTATCATCACCAACAAAGTTATGTTCCGCCGGTATTATAGTACATCACTTGGTTTTTTAAACCATGGCCGGTTAGGGTAAGCCAATAACAAAGTTCTCCCTTATATCAGCTTTAAAAAAATCATTTTATATTAATATTTATATAATTTTTTTTAAAAATTAATAACTTATTTTTTAAAAATTCTTAAAAATTCATTTTAAAAAGTCTATTTTTAAAAAGATATAGATATAATTATTTTTTCTAAATTTTTTTAAAATATTTTAAAATTTTTCACTTCAATTTTTTTTTTATGATTAATAATATGTTGGAGCCACTCTATTTTATCTATAAATAAAACATAGAATATATTATCAACGGCTGCGCGTCAAATAGATATATAATTAGGATTTAGGAATAATATAAAACTTTGTGTTCGGTTAGCTTAATTGCTGTGCGACCATTAAACACTAATAAAAGAAATTTGTTTCAATTATCCCAGAAATATTATATATCTATACCACTTTCGGGAAATTTTTTAGCTAAAACAACGAATAAATAATATTGTTTGGTGTCTTTGATTTTAACGCTGTCAAACACATAATTAATCCTCGATATCAGTCATTATGTATTTAATTTAATGCATTAATAAACTTTTATTGGTTTATAAATTAAGCATTCATTTCTAAATTATAATCAAGTATTATTATAGTTTTTTAATATAGTATTAATTATTATTTTTATTTATATTCTTAAAAATATTGTTAATTATATTTATAAGTGTCAAATAAGTTAACTTAGATTGATTCAATCAAAATTCTTTACAGGGAACTTATTTTGTGGTGTAGTCTAACTTGTAGTTGTTGGTCATCAGGCAAGTTAAATTGTCATATTTTATTTTATTTTTATTTAAATTTTACAAAGAAAAATGAAAATATTAGGTCAAATAATTCCAATAAATTTTGAGTATGTAAAATTATTGGTTTGATCTAACCCAATTGATTGGCCATTAGATTAAGATAAATTGATTCAATTCTTTTTTGAGCTACTTTTTATGAGTATAGGGTACGAGTCTAGTTCGTCTTTGACATATTTAATTGTTGTGTTACATCGTTTATAGGAAGACAATTAGTAATAAGGATAATCTTATGAAATTATTATTTATTTACTAATTTTTTAATCTATATTAAGAAAAACTTACAACAATACTTAGTACAAGATGAAAGGAGTGAAATTTTTAATTATCACAAAACACTATTATTTTAGCTAATATATAAAACATATTAATCAATAGTTAAAATATAAACGACTACTAATAACAAACTTTTGCTACCATACACTCAACCATTAACTAAAATTTATTGAAATCTATACAAATAAAATATTGACTAATAAAAAAACATGACTAAAAAAATTTTGTAATTTTAACCAATTTTAGTCAATAGTAGAAAATTTCAATTCTTGATTATGTGAAGGCCTTCACATTTATAGCATTTCACATTCTGAACTCCTCCTCTAAGTGTATCAGAAAGCTTCCTTGTGACATAACTCCCTTGGTATGACTAGGATTTATCATAAGACTTTCTTTGCTTGCCACCTTTCTTGGACCTAGTTGGCCCCTTTACAATTTTCACTACCTAACTACCATCCTCTAACCTCTTCACAACCTTTGTCTATTCCACTAAGGCTAGAAATTCAATGATAGTCATTGGTACCATTGCACTCTTTAAGTCATACTTCAATCCTTCAACAAATTTTCTACACCTCAAAGCCTTAGAAATGGCTTGAAAGTAGAAACGAGTTAGATGTTAAAATTTTATAACATACTAGCTATGTGACTGATAGACTCCCTTGATGCAACTTCATAAACTTCATTTCTTTAATGTGTCTTTCCAAGAAGTACTTCTCGAGTAATATCCTCTCAAGGATTACTCTCTTAAAGCACTCCCAATCAACCACCACTCCTATAGTCATTAACATCTGTTAAGCACCTTACCATTAGTATTTTGCTTCCCCTATCAACATGTACACCACATATGCAATAATCCTATCATTTGTACAACCCAACATCTTAAAAATTTTCTCCATCTCACAAATCCAATATTCAACCACCTCAGGATCTTAATCTCCCTTGAATTGAGGAGGATGGTATTTCCTAAACTCAGTTAAGTCCTTACTCTCCTACAACCCCATTGGTCTAGTTGCCTCAATTGTAGCCGTGTTCGCCTCCACTTAAGCAAAATGAGCATTTTTCCATTGTATAACAATGACTATCATCTCCATGGAACGAGCTAGTTGATCGTATTAGGGCCGAATCATCTTTTCTAGAGATCAATAAATCAGTAAGGTAACACTCAACAAACAACAATCACAATCAACAAATATAAATAATCACACAACAAAAGGACAACAACTCCACCCCCATAGAGTGTCCATAAGAGACTTGACCGACTCTAATATCATAAAAGTGTAATGACCCGACAGGTCAATATACTTACCATAGTTTAGTTACTATGCAGTAGGAATGCTAAACAAACATTAACTAACATATGATTATCATGCAACAGACACCTAGTCATTCAAGCATATAAATATATGTATAGGGCAAAAAACTTAAAACATTTCCTAGGCATCAACAAGAAACATAACTCCCCTCAATGGGGTTACATATACTTCTTGTACATATATGCAATCTGCATAAAATATAACATTGTATACAACATAAAACCTTAATCATTGGTCAAACGCATATACAACTATTATGTCACACCAAAGAGACATCAGTCAACATAAAACCCTCCATCATCTAGATAAGCCAACCTATTAATCCTACTCCGCTCTCATACCAAATATGATCATTGTAGTTTCAATCACAAAGAAGAAAAGGGTAAGCTTATGAAAAAATTCAACATAAAATAACAACATCAAGTAATAACTTAACTACTTAAACCACAATGTTTATTTCACCATATAACTTCAACTTATCATGAATACCACACATTCAACTTGCAACATAATACAACTTAACAACTTCAAGATAACAACAATATTCTCAACATAAAAATCATAATCAACTAATGTGTCATTACACATATCAACTACATGAATCTCTTATAACAAAGTTGAGTAATTTAAGTGGATAGATCCTACTAAATCACAACATCTGACCTATTACAACTAGGTCAATTAAAGACAATGTTAGGCCTCAAAGAGTGCCAAGTATACAACTTAAATTGATTTCTTAGGTTTCGCCACTTAAACTAGGAAATGTAGTTTTTACGTTAGGGTAGAACAACTTGAGTATGAGTTTACCATGACATTAGCTTGTAACACTAAGCCTCTTACGGGATTAGTTCATTGACTACCTTTCAAATACTACACCCATCAAGTACTTAGTTATGGACTAAGTCCCCGACCTTGTATCTTATTTGGTTAGTTACTTTATACATG